ATATACAGATCAGTTATTAAAATTAAAAATATTTTTTAATTTGTATATTAAATTCTTAAATTTAATAAAATATAGAAAATTTTTAAGTTTACAATATGTATATATTTATATCATGTAAAAAATATATTTGTCATTAGTATCAAACTCCTCTACCTTTAGTTTTTACTATTATTTCAAGGATTTAGAATTTTTTGATGAAAAATTATTATTTATTATTCCCTATCTATCTAGCTAATTTCTAAATTTCTTAATATTAGTGAAAATAATGATAAATATCATATGATTACAACTTTTTAATGGTTATACTAGAGAAGTTGGTATATTATATATGAGTCATATAAAATAACCTGTATTTAGCTTGCATTATGAAACTACATACAATAATACTAGATATATCAATAACAAATAGGCATGTAACAAATATATTTTAGTTATGTGAAAAACTAAGTTAAAAATTCTTGTAAATATCAAGATATAATTAATAACACTTAATTTTAAGTTGATGATTTAATTAATCATCTTCCAAATATTTATAAAAATTAAATGAAGCAGATATAATACAGTATAATAAATATATTTATTATGATCATATAATTGCGATTTTATTAAAAATCAGAATATTTAATAAATATTTTAAAACTTAATTTAAAAAAATTAAATTATTTAAAATCTTCTTAATAAACTTAAATTTCTTCTAATAAAGTTTATAAAAAATATATTAAAATATATTTTTAATATATAATTACTATATTACTAAAATTAATATTTAATATTTTATTGAAAAATTAACACTTTTTTTTTAAGTTTATAAGTAAATTTACTTGTTAGACAGTCTAAGAGATATAAAATTTTATTAATAAAATTAAGTATTAAAATATAATAATTATATGATTTTCAATATAATTTTATTAATAAATTATTTGTATTTCAAAAATTAAGTTATTTTTTGAATTAATTTAATATTAACTTCTGGTGAATTTTACCAGAGGTGAATTTTATTCAGATTTGATCTTGTACTATGCAAATTTTAAATTTAAATTTTAAACTTAAATTTTATGGTGAATTTCACTGGAAGGTGAATTTTATTTTGATTTTCATAATACATAAACACTAAACCTTTTAAATATTTTTTTTAATATATAAAATATCACTTTTCTCTTTATGCTCTTTAACAATAGATAATTTTAAATGGCTAACTTTTTTAGATAATAATATAGATTTAATATCCTTTGTTTCAGTTATGATAATAATAGTTTATTTGATCACTTTTTTTCGTCATATTCTGAATCTCTTAATAATAATTTTTCTAATACAAATCTTTTGCCATATGAACATTTTAATGTAAATCTTTTATCATCTTTTAAATACTTTGAACCTCTTAAACCTTTTAAGCTACCTTCTGAGCTACCTTTAATATTACCTTTTGTGTTATCTGTTGAGTTACCTTCAAAACTATCTTTTGATAATATAGAAAGTTTATTACCCTTAAAACAATCCTTTAATAATACTTATCAATACAACCTTACTATAGGGACTACTTTGATGATTAGTCATTAATTGATTCATTTATACATCAATATTATTTAAAATATAGGTTTATTTATCAGATTTTTCATAATGATAAAGATTCAAGTGATCTAACTATTATCTGACAAAAATCATTTTAATGTTTATCAAGTAATAATTATGAATACTAAAAAATAATTAATCAAAATTTATATCATTTATGTAATACTATCAAAATAAATTGTGAATGCCATGTTAATTTCACATTTTCAAAAATGATATAATAAATAAAATGCATAACGTTAAAAGATGTACATAATCATAAGCTAAATCCAGTTTATGTATCTCATATTATTGCTAGATATCGACATTTTAATAATAAAATGATATAAAATATAAAGCTTTTTTGAATTATAAGATTACGCTAATTATACAATTAAAAATTTTGAAAAAAAAATATCTAAAACACATCTTTCACAAGTAAGATATATATAATGCAATTTATAAATTACGTTAAAATGATATAGATATGAGGTCTGATTCAGTATTATTTTTTGACA